TAATAATGTAGCTCCTCTGAATAAAAAAACAATGTTTTCAAATGAAGCTGGAGGCTGGCATGTCAGGACCTGGCACGGTGCCAAGTTGATGTTTATGTGTGCCATGCGCATTGCGTCCATGTGGCCTGTATTTGTGTGGGTCAGGCAGATGGGTTTGTGCATAACCTTTTATGTTCATTTTGGTTGTACAGGCTTGTGCATTAACAATAAAAATTCTATTCTATTCTAGTTTCTGTCCATATGTGATATAAAATGTTGATACATTACCACTGTTACCATTATCAACTACCACATATTGAAATACAACTAGGAACACTTTTGAAACCTATGTTKTACTTGACTGCTAATCTCTGTCCACCAGTTGACCTACCCTTTATGAAAATCTTGAAACTTTGTTTTCAGACAAGGTTGTTTCACAATGTAAGGGTGATTTGATCATTTTTTTATAAAAAAAAAAAAAACTTACCAGGTTGAACTCCGGTAAGTTGGTTGATGCGCTGCTGAAATCCTCAGTATTAAGCATTTCAAAGTCAGACTCCTCTGCAGCAATTGGAACAGAAACAGTCAGACTTGGGTTGTTTATGAAAGACAAGATGGAATCATCACTCTTGCTGTTGACTATATACTTGTCTCCAGTTTTGTCTACACCAGTCACATCCCCATTGCCATCCCTAGAGAAGTCTTTAAGGGTATGGCTAGGGACACCATTTCGTCCGAAAGATTTTTGGAGTTCATCCAGAGATTGGTCTTCACTCTTTTTTTTCTTTTTATCTCTGAAACATATGCTATTGCACCTACTTCGAAATAGTGACTTAATATAGGCTTTGGCTCTACGAATACGTCCARTTGCAATCTGCAAATTGTTCATCTCACTGTCATCATCAACAGCAGCCAGATTGTCTGCACTGAATGAACTTAGCAGCAGGGCCAGGAACAGGTTCAGCACCTAGAGGAAAAGGACAAAAAGCAAGATCTTTAGTGTGTTTATCTTCAATGAAAAAAAAACAGCATTTAGAAATACAGAACTGCATTGGTACTGTGACATTTTACATTGAAAAGATTTAGATGATGTGAAATGAATTAACCATAAAAGATGCAATGTACCACAAGATTTCCAACAACCATGACCATCATGTAGAGAATGAGGCACTTTTGGATCCCAGCCACCTCCATACAGTCCCACATGGTTTCTATCCACTCTCCACAAAGCACTCGGAACACAATGAGAAATGAATGGAAAAAGTCGTTCATGTGCCACCGAGGCAGAGAACAGTCTTCAGAGATCTTACAAGTACAGTCCTTGTAGTTTTTTCCAAACAGCTGCATGCCCACAACAGCAAAKATGAAAACAATAATGGCAAGCACCAGTGTTAGGTTGCCCAAAGCTCCCACTGAATTACCAATTATTTTGATGAGTTTGTTTAGAGTGGGCCAAGATTTTGCCAACTTGAATACTCTCAGCTGTAAAAAGAAAGAAAAAAAGTATGATTTTTCATCAATAAAAAAACACATATATTGATGCTGACATATGGTAATAATAATATTTTGCACAATACAAAAATGCAAGATATTGGCATTTCCTTTTGCATTTTTCTTGACTGCACAATATTGCATATGGTTTGGGGAAAGTATGCTTAAAAAAAGTTAAGGGTCAAATATTTTTAGACTGAAATGATTCCAATCACAACCCCAATTCCAATGAAGTTGGGACATTGTGTAAAACACAAGTAAAAACAAACTACGATGATTTGCAAATCCATTTTTCAACCTATTTTCAACTGAATACAGAACAAAGACAAGAGATTAAATGTTCAAACAGATAAACTTTATTGTTTTTTTTTTTTGTAAATATTCACTAATTTTGAATTGCATGTTACAAAAAAGCTTGGACACAAGTTAGAGCAACAAAAGACTGGGGAAAGTTGAGGAATAATCAGAAAACACCTGTTTGGAGCATTCCACAGGTGAAAAGGTTTATTGCAAACAGGTGAGTGTCATTGTGCATCCCCAAAAGGCTAAKTCATTCATAAGTAAGGGTGGGGCGAGGAATACCACTTTGTGAATGACTGCCTGTCAACAGTTTAAGAGCATTTGTGACACGCCACRGGAAAAGTAGGAACAAATCGCTGATGCACAAACTGAGAAAAATGAAACACTATCATTTTCGGATTTTCTGTGTTTTGTTCGCAAAATAGTTAAAATCATGAAGACACCCCCCTTTTAAACTTTTTAAACAAGGCAGGCACCGATGAGTTTCAGAACATTTTTGTTTCAGGAGTGAGGGTGAAGGATCGACAGACACTAATGCTACGTTCACATTGAATGCGGTTTGAGCATCTAAAATGCGCCCAACACCTCAAATTGGATACACTACGTTCAGACCGGGACACAARTGTGTCTGTTGAGGGAAGAGCGTCTTGTTTTTTTTTTCCCGGTTTGTCTTTAATGGCGAATTAAATAAAGATAAAATAAAGAAAATTGCTTTGCTTTGTTTACTGAGAGCAAGCGAGCGTTATGCACAGCAGATAATTAATTCATCAGATGATTTAGAGTTCATCTGTTAGGTGGGTTTCACCACTCCAGGAGCTGCGTGCTGACAATTTTTTTTGTCCCGAGCCCAGTTTAACACCGCGGTCAGTTTAACGAGCTGCTGACCCGCATCAGTGCTGATATCTCCAGCCAGAACACCAACTGCAGATGGCCAATTTCAGCTAAAGAGCTCCTGTCCGTCTGTTCCAGGTTTAGTGGGCAACTTTCAAGAAACTGTCACGTGGAAAAATTAGTCTCTCTGATTGGTTAACGTGGTGAGTCGAGCAGCAAAAGTTCAGATTTTTGAACTCGAATGTCAGCTGCTTTGGACGCACCGCGTGCACAAAAAATGCTCTACCGCACTACCGCTTCCGTTGCGCACCTTGCTAAATGGCCTAGATGCGCGTCCACCATAGAATGTAAACCGGCCGCTTCTGCAGCTCAAAACGCGTTCAGTGTGAACGTCGAATAACCTCTAGCTTTAATTAGAACAGCAGTCCAGTTGCTTCTCTTCGTTCTTTTCATTTTCCTTGTCCCGGCAATCCACAAAAAGTAAYGTCTTTCTTTGGTCATGGTCCTGTATCCAAACGTGTCACTTCGTTGAAAAAAAAAAGCTTCATCCATGAACTTTTGCTGCTCGACGCGCTGCGTCAACCAATCAGAAAGCATCATTTTTCCATGTGACGGTTTCCTGAATGTTGCCCACTAACCTGAAACAGATGGACAGGAGCTCTTTAACTGAAATCGTGTGCCTGTAGTCGGTAGATGTGCGTCAAGCGCTTCAAGAGCAATTTTGACTCACGTCTGACCTCAGAGTGCACAAGTGATCAACTTGAAGCGTTGGACACAATTTTGACACTGAAATCRCRTTTTGTGTGAATGCAGCATTACAAAAATCAAGCATCTGTCTTGTGAGCCTTTTGAGCTTTTGTCTGCACACTTTCCTAGAGCCTACTTGTGTTGACAGTCAAGGCTGGAGTTAATGCAAATTAACGTGAATGAACAGCCATTGTTAACMGCCTCAAGAAGTGCYCTCTTAAARTTTGAGGCCTCTTTTCTCCCTTATTTTGTTTACAGATTGCCAACATTCAAATGGCCATATGGTCTTCATTTTTTTCTAATTGCCATGTGTTTGACATCATCGGATATACGTACACTTTCAGATTCTGTGAATAACTCAAAACACACCCAGGGAGACTTGTTCCTGGTTTTACGGTCCCAGCTTTTTTGGAACATGTTGCAGGCTACAAATTTAAAATGAGTGAGTATTTCAAAAAATACAAAATAAACTAAAAATAAAAAGTTGATAATTTGTTAACAAACAAAATGCGTATATAGTTAAGACTTACCAGCCTGAATGTTCTCAAAATAGACATGCCCTTCACATTGGCCAAACAAAGCTCTATCAAGCTTAAGCTGACAATGATTGCATCAAAAACATTCCATCTTGCTTGAAAGTAATAATATGGATCCAGTGCAATGACCTTCATTACCATTTCAGCTGTGAAGATGCCAGTAAATACCTTCATACAAAAAAATATATTACTCAAAAAATGAAAGCCATTGAAATAAAACAAAAATATCTACATAAGTCACCAGTTAGCTTACCAGGTTTCCCACAGACAACATTTTTTCGAACTCCGGATGCATTGGCTGGTGCTCCATGGCCATAAATAATGTGTTCAGTACAATGCAGAAGGTAATAGCTAGGTCCATAAATGGGTCCATCACAATTAATTTTATTGTTTTCTTGATTTTCATCCACATTGGACAAAACTCCCAGATGAGGAAGTTGTGAGCAAATTTGTACCAATAGGGAGGACACTTCTGCCTTGACTCTTCAAGTTCTAATGTCAAAATGAAATATTTTAGATGAAACCACAGTTGGAACTTCTTAACATCCAAAATAAATTAAATTTTAAAAAATAAAAAATGTGAGCATAACGCAATACATACCATCTATGGTGCTTGTAATGACACTTGCTATACTTTGTGCTCTCTGTCTGAACTCGGGGCCGTCAATTACCTCCAAAAACTCTCCGTAGTTTCCTGCACTGGACTTCCTGTACTCTGTATCTGTTGTGTCAGCCTTTACATAAATGCAGAGATATGAACAGAAAACAAGTGGGGAAAAATTACAACTGCAATATTCATAAAAGCTTGTGTATCAATTAACAATGTAAAATTAGAGCTGTTTGTTGGGACAATGAAAAGCCACTATTCAATCAAATAAGCCATAGTCTTRGTTACAATACAAAATATGTAAAGTTCTTATGTATAATTTAGTTTCCTCCAGTGTTTTGAGGATTTATGAAGGTCTAAAAATAAACTATATAAAAAGATTTTTCAACTTATATTATTGTAGATTTTCTGCTTTCAGCACAAGGTAAAAGTTTTACACAATGAAAAAAAGAATAATAGAACGAACATGTTTTTCGTTTTTCAATATCTGTTCACCCACTCCTTTAAGGCATTTGTAAGTTTTATTTATTTTATTTATTTGCTGTCATTTAACCAGACAAATCCCAATGAGATCACAGATCTCTTTTGCAAAGGCAGTGTCTCAATTCAGGGCCTGCATCCTCATGAGTGCGCATTTGTCGGCCGCATGTTTCACCGCCCCGCTACGAGGGCTGTCCCAATTCGAAGGCTCCTCATCATGTGGCCGAGAAATGCAGCCCACAAAATGTTGAAAATCAAGGACACATCTTAGTATCCTTACCGGCCGAGGATATCCCAGGATTCAATGCGCTGACAGAAAACTAAACAGAGAAACAAAGACGGTGGAGTATTTTTTTACCAAGTTGGGAWAGTTTGGAAATTCATCACAGGCGAAGAATTTACTTTTAAAACTAAGCTTGGCAACTTAGCTGATGAAATTCATGCTGCAGTAGGATTGAAATAAAATGCAACTACAAGTACTGATACTGGAGCTAAAACCAAATTATTGATTTTTTTTTTATTTACGAGCAATGTTTTAATTGTGAAGTTATTCTTCCAGTGAAAACACATGTAAAACATGTCCCAGCGCATTCAAGTCTGATATCAAACTGATCAAAATGGTAACGGGGAAGCGCGTGGTCACGCAAACTTATGTCAAGCGAAGGCCACATCGTCAGCCTGCCGGGACTGGGAAGGACGTGGTCCAAGGGGCATATGCATGTATGTGAGAGGAAAATGTACATCTGTGAGAGGAGAATATATGTGCGTGAGAGGAGAATGTGTTTTTCTTGCCCAGGGACATTTCGACACATGACAGAATAGTTGGGAATCRAACTGCCATCTCTCGCATTAGAAAAACTCCCCTAACCACTCTTCTACAGCTGCCGATTATGACAATATTTTGTAAATATAGATGTTAATTTTCCTGTTGGTGCAGTGTGATATTTGTAGATTGACTCCACACAAACAGGATCAAATCTAATTTTGGCTGATGGCCATGCGCACACTGCCACCCAGCTGAGGCRGTGTAAATGCTCTYGTTKATTAAATTGGGTRTGTTTTTACTGCAATGGTTGTGCCAGAGCAGACAGTGTAAATTGGAAATAAGAACCAGTGGGTGGTATTAACAMGTTTTACTTTGTGTTCTTTCCTCAGACCTCATTCTCATTTCATGAACACCATGCTGGCCCAGTGTTTGTCATTTCACTATACTTATACTCTAGCTTTTAACTATTACTTGCAAAAAATTTGTCACCGTTGCCATACCATGTTTTTRTAATTTTTACACCAGTGCCTTTTAGCTATGCCCATGTCTGTTCATCTTTATATAAATTTCTATTTGAGAAATGTCTGCTTATGCAACATTTAGTTTTGTTCTATTCACCTCAATTATACTTCAAGGCCTTGGCAATGAAAAACTCTAAAGAACTTATAAGCTTTTATGTAAAACCTTTACCTTGTGATGTTATAGTAAACCTATTATAAACTGAATCCTTATGAACYAAAGCTTAATTTCCCATTTTTGACRATTTAYACATATAATAATTAAAACATCAGATGGACAATTACAGTAAATTGTCTTCATTTTCACCAACGATGATCWTATACAAACTTTCCAACACTTGAYTAAAAAGCRTCATGGAACAAATAAATCAATCAAKAAGATATTTTTTAGTGATTTGAAAGGTGGTCAACACAATTTTCATGTATAAATTAATTAGGGTCATCTTGACTAATGAAAYATTTCTTACATTGTCTCCAGTGGAGGCCATATCTAGTGTCACTTTAGGCAGAGGAAGCCCCAYAGGTGGTGATGATGGGAGTGAATTCCCATCCACCAGAGACACAACCCCATTGCAGTCYACAGAGCTGTGCTTGATGTTATTTAGCTGAAATCGGATATGCGGTATGAAGCTGCACTGGCTTGTGCTGCTGCTGTGTCGATCACACCTCTGGGCATGGAACAGGGATCCCCTTTGGCTTAGGTTGTCTTCAAAAATGCTGCTCTCATCGTCTGCAAACTCGTTCTCTGAGCTCACATCGTGYGCCTGGCTTTGAAAACTGCAAAAGCTGGYCTTGCTGTTTCGTCTGGATGAGAGTAGTGGTCCACGAAAGCTCAGAAAGGACTAGGAGACAAAAATATTCTCCAGTGGATACAGGATATACGTTGATTTTAAGGAGAAAGGAATAATGATGGCACTGGAGTTCATATGAACAAATAAAACTGACAGTGTGCAAAAAAATGGACGTTGATGTTAATGTAAGAAGGTTAAAAACTTAAAGAAAAGTAGCAATGATGAAATACAATGAGGATGATGGCCATGATAATGATTATGCTGATGAAGAAGAACAAGACATTGATGGCCATATGGATGATTGGAATTTTGAGAGGGAAAAAAATGCAACTGTATGTTATCTTGATTTGGACTGGTGACAACAACACAAGATGAGGAAGTAGAACAAGATGATGATGATGATGATGATGATGATCATGGTGAAGATGGTCAAAATAGGACAGTGACAGCATATTTGTACCTTAGAAGTCAAAGTGAGTATTCTGACATTTTCCTAAAACAGCAATGTACGTTTCAAATAGTTCTAACATAACTCAAAGCGTWTCATCAACTCTTTTTATGCAGCCTTTTATCAAAGGGTTTTAACCATTTGAGAAAAAATGATAGCTAATTTCTTTGATTGCAGTGTTAAATCACATATTTGATAACTAAAAAAAGACACATTCATCAAAATCTGAAACTTTGTTTCCTTTGAATAAAAATGTAAAATTCAGGACAGCTTGTGTTTAATACTTTCTAGAGTTGAGTTCATGGAAGTCACTTTAATAKGAATAAAATGTATGAAATTGGATGTTAGTGCAACAAATATGAGTAAAGTTCTAGTTTGCTATATAAAGTTATGAAAATGTCAATTTAATGGCAAGGTCTATACTTTTTTTTGATCGGTTATTAACAAATACTGTTGGAATAGCAGCACTTACACATAATACATGACAAATAAACTATAGAAAATACTTTAAACTAATAGCGGTACTGGAAAGCAACAGCAGTGCATTATTTAMTCAAACAGATTTTACTGCACCTGATGCATGGATGAGCGTTTCACATCATTGTTGAGCATGTCTACCATGTCGCTGTCCAGTGAGTTGGACTTAGGAACCTTTTGCACATCTTTTTCTTCCTCCTCTCTCCTTTTCTTTCTCCTGTTCCGCCTCTCTTTGGCACTTTTGGAGCTCAGCTTAGAAGCATCAGAGGAACTCTCGGTGCCACCATTGTCAAAGGTGTCGTCATCCTCTGCCAAAGCTTTTGCCAATGCCTAGAAGACAGGACAGTGCAAACAAATATGGATTATTCCTTAAGATTCTTGACAGCCAAAAATGAATCCTATCCCAAAATTACCACACGAAGAGTAACACATTTCTCAATAGTAGGATGCTTTAAATATATATTTTGTAAACACAGATAATAGGAAATAATTACATTAAAACTTTTTTTAATGACTGAATCTAAAAAGCCTATACCTCAGCATCCTCTTGCTGCTGTTTGAGCTGCTCAAGCATTGCCTGATATTCCTCTTCCTTTTCCTCAGCTTTCCTGATGTTGGCCTGGCTCTGCTCCTCGTAGGCCATGGCTACTACAGCCAAAATCAGGTTKATCAAGTAGAAAGAACCAAGGAATATGACCAAGACAAAAAAGACCATATAGGGTTTCCCAGCAGCTCGTAAAGTCTGGAAATAAAAGAAAAAAGAAAAAAAAAACCAAGGTTTTGCACACTTTTGACAATCTTTAAACCTAATATAATTGCTTTTTATATTTGTTTTGTTTCCTAATTCAGGATTAATTATCATGAATTCCAATTGTAATGTGAATTTTGCGCAAAATTATGAAAAGTTGCACAAAAATAAAAAAAATTAAATGCAACTTGGGCATGATTTCATCTACTGGATGAAGCAAATCAACCAGGCTACACAAAGTGTAATTTCATCAGATGCTGACAAGACATTGTGCATGGCTGTAATAGCAGGGACCACACACCTCAGGACAGTGGAGAGAGGTTGTCAGGAATGTGTTGCTATGGGGCAAATTGTAATCGTTCTGTCATACCAACTAATACTGGCAATGTTAAATGTTGTCTGGAGATGTAGAGAAATAAATGAAATTCTTATGGGAATGTCCAGGAAGAGTCTGACAAGAGAAACATCAATCATGTGAGGTAAATGTTTGCTAAGTCAGAACTTATTTAGCAAATGTGTTTTCATCTCCTCTTTTGTGCATCGTGCTGATTTTTAAAAAAAAATCCAAAAACCACCTAAAGCGAGCATAAATGTTGTTTATTTTTTCAAAATTGAGGTTTGAAGTTTTTTTATTTTGCCAAAATTAGTTTTTTATTTTATTTTGCAGTTTCCTTTAACCTTTTCTAATGCAATACTTCAAAATGTACAGAAAAAAAAACATTGATGGGAAGACAGCAACTGTAAAGTTAGTTGCAATAAGTGTTTAAACAACTGCTGCTGCAACATCGTTTACAGTCTAAATTTTAGACTGTTACTTTTCATTGTAACTACTCAACTGAACAATCATTTGCACTATACTCTGCTGTAATTGTACATCTGTGTTTCTTGTCTGTATTGATATTTCACTTTGGTCTGGTGGGATTGTTTTTGCACTCAAAACAGGAAACTTCTGATTTTGAATGTTGGATTCTGAAACAAAACATCACTTTTCTATTCTTGAACAAATCTTCATATTGTTTTTTTATTTTCATTATTAGTAGTTGTATCATGGCTAGTGAGTGTTACTCTTGTTTTGTGTGTCCTATCGATAGTTTGTAGTGTGTGAACCTTTGTACTGATGTTGCTGTGACACCTGAATTTCCCCGCTGCGGGACAATAAAGGCTTTTTCTATTCTATTCTATTCTAAAAACACAATCAGGCCAATCTAAAATCATATAGGGAATTTGCAGGTTTGAGTGCTATTTTCACCATTACCTTGTTTATATTAGTAACATGGCAAGAATGTAATTAATTGCTGTGGATGCTATAAATAATAAAGGAATAAAGAGTTTGATATTACCTGCATGTAACATTAACCCAGTTTTGGTATTCTGTATTAGAATTATTAAATTAACCTAAGATTTTAATGTTCATACGTGTTCTACATTAACACCGACACTGAAGAGTGCTGGTTGATGACCACAGGTATTGTTCTTTCATAGGGCGTAGATGCTTTCTTTCATTGTTTGCTTTACTAATTTGATACCGTGATGCACTGCCTTTTCATTGGTCAGTTTTTTTTTTTTACACACATGATTTAAGATATATTTATCTGACACAATGGGACTCCTCATTTTACCTCTGACCAGGATGCACCTGCAGGTTTATTTAAACACAATGCTTTGTAGATTTTCTCTAGTATTAGTGCAGAAAACACTTGTCCCTTTTAAGAGCAAACCACTTCAATTTACAGTGGTTTGCAAAAGTATTCATACCCCTTGAACTTTTCCATATTTTGTCACATTACAACCACAAACATAAATATATTTCACTGGAATTTAATGTGAAAGACCAACACAAAGTGGTATACAATTGTGAAGTGGAAGCAAAATTTTACATGAATCAAAACATTTTTTACAAATAAAAAACTGAAAAGTGCGACGTGCAAAAGTATTCAGCCCCCTTTTCCCTGAGTGCAACCAATTGCATTCAGAAGTTGCCTGATGACTGCTAATGACTCAAAAGGGTCCACCTGTGTGTAATCTAATCTCAGTACAAATACAGCTGCTCCGTGACGGCCTCAGATGTTGGTTAAGAGAATATTGGGGAGCAAACAGCATCATGAAGTCCAAAGAACACACCAGACAGGCTAGGAATATGGTTTTGGAGAAGTTTAAAGCAGGCTTAGGTTATAAAAAGATTTCCCAAGCTTTGAACATCTCACGGAGCACTGTTCAATCCATCATCCGGAAATGGAAAGAGTATGGCACCACAGTAAACCTGCCAAGACAAGGCCGTCCACCTAAACTTACAGGCCGAACAAGGAGATCACTGATCAGAGAGGCAGCCAAGAGGCCCATGGTGACTCTGGATGAAATGCAGAGAGCCACAGCTCAGGTGGGGGAAACTGTCCACAGGACAACAATTAGTCGTGCACTACACAAATGTGGTCTTTATGGAAGAGTGGCAAGGAGAAAGCCATTGTTAAAAGAAAACCATAAGAAGTCCCGTTTGCAGTTTGCCAGAAGCCATGTTGAGGACACAGCAAACATGTGGAAGAAGGTGCTTTGGTCAGACGAGACCAAAATTGAACTTTTTGGCCACAATGCAAAACGCTATGTGTGGCGGAGAAAGAACACTGCACATCACTCTGAAAACACCATCCCCACTGTCAAATATGGTGGTGGCAGCATCATGCTCTGGGGGTGCTTCTCTTCAGCAGGGACCGGGAAGTTGGTCAAAGTTGATGGGAAGATGGATGGAGCCAAATACAGGGCAATCTTGGAAGAAAACCTGTTGGAGTCAGCAAAAGATTTGAGACTGGGGCGGAGGTTCACCTTCCAGCAGGACAACGACCCTAAACATAAAGCCAAAGCTACAATGGAGTGGTTTAAAAAAAAGAATATTCATGTGTTAGAATGGCCCAGTCAAAGTCCAGACCTAAACCCAATTGAGAATTTGTGGCAAGATCTCAAAACTGCTGTTCACAAACGCTCTCCATCCAATCTGACTGAGCTTGAGCTGTTTTGCAAGGAGGAATGGGCAAGAATTGCAGTCACTAGATGTGCAAAGCTGGTGGAGACATACCCTAAAAGACTTGCAGCTGTAATTGCAGCAAAAGGTGGCTCCACAAAGTATTGACTCAGGGGGGCTGAATACTTTTGCACGTCACACTTTTCAGTTTTTTATTTGTAAAAAATGTTTTGATTCATGTAAAATTTTGCTTCCACTTCACAATTGTATACCACTTTGTGTTGGTCTTTCACATTAAATTCCAGTGAAATATATTTATGTTTGTGGTTGTAATGAGACAAAATATGGAAAAGTTCAAGGGGTATGAATACTTTTGCAAACCACTGTATTTTGCCAGCATCTATCCAAAATATTTGATAAACATCCATTGCAAAGTACTCATTGCAAAATTTTGAATCAAACAACAGGGTTTTCTAAACTATATCAAATGATCATGTTTGAACAAGTTTACTCCAGTGATAAAATTAATGCAATTCAGAAATGTGGGTCTGCACTTAAACAAAGCACTTGGCTGAATTGACCAAAAACCACTGCTTACCTGTTGGTAAAGGTTTTCCCAGAAATCTTGTGTCATCAGTCTAAACAGAGAAAGAAAGGCCCAACCAAAGTTGTCGAAGCTCGTGTAACCATAGTTTGGATTTTTTCCAGCTTTATGACAACTATATCCCTCTGGACACTGTCTGTAGGAAACAAAGCGACTATAAGCTTGATAAAAATTAATGAAATCACTATTTCCTTTTGTATGGGTCTGGTAATACTTTAGAGTTGGACCCAAAAAGGAGTACATTTTTTACATTAAAAAACATTATTTTACTTGTTTACCCAGCTGCACTGCTGTTTCCACAAAGCAATGGATCTTTACTTCCTGGAAGGAAATAATGATTATCTGATGGGGCAAGAAAGAAAAACACAGCTTTAATGCCTGTGACAAGATTTGGTAGTCAAGAACAAAGCTAACAGTAAATACTGAAGGCAATTTTAATGAAAATCTAACACAACTGCTATAAATCATGTCTCTGTAGGGCACACAGTCTCTTAAAGAAGTCCCTGATAAACTGAAATTATTAGAAAAAAAAACTTGTGTACATTATCATAACAAATATTGACTTTTTAGTGTGTGTACCAATGAGTTTGTGCTTAATTAAGAGTCAACTAAATAAAAATCTATTTTTTTAGTTAAGCTTGGAAAATGAAAAAGAGAAAGAGAGAAATGAAGAAGTGCAGTACAGGACATTTTGACCACAACATTTCAAAATGTGTATCATACTCACTTATGTCTTCCATGTAACTCATAGTTATGTTGTCACAAACACTGAAGTTAACCCCTGCCTTCCTAGCCTCAGCATCAGGCTCTCGAATGCACTTGCTCCTTAAAATGCCCATGAACAGCTGTAATCCTACCAGAGCGAAGACACTCAGGCAGAAAACAGTCAGGATCATTACATCACCCAGCTTTTTCACTGACTGAAACAATGCGCCAACTATTGTCTTCAGGCCTGTAAAACACAACATATCATTTGTCACACTTAGTGCAGAACTTTCCATGAAATCTGTTAGTCCTCAATATTTTATCATTATCATCATCTTTTCTTCAAATGTCCTGATTTGAATTTGTTTTTCAACAGGGTTGAAAATGCAACACACACACACACACACACACACACACACACACACACACACACAC